ATGTACAAACAATTGGAATTTGCATTAACCCAGGTCCCAGACCTGGGTGGTTTGCACCTCAATGGGAACAGAAGGTAATTTGCATGGAATGACCCTCTACAGTAATCAAAGTATCTCTTAACTCTTAGGATCTCTATGGTCTTTTAGTCTACTTTTGTAAGATTAAGACCATTGTACCACTCGCCCTGAGACTATTCAAATGACACCAAAAATGACTGTAAATCTTATTTGCATTCATATAGAACATTATATTCTACCGTTGACCATTCTGAGTGAGCTGGGTGAAGAGAAGGATGGGTGCGGGGAAGGAAGGGGATGAGGAGGAACCAATGCATATGTGAGAGACGTTTTCCCGCATTTTCTCTCAGTGAGATGGTGAAACAGATGTCTGTATGTTAATGCACTGTGTGTGTATTGTCTGTCTCAGAAGATCAAAGTATCTGAGTTTCTTTTATCCTTACAGCCCGAATCAGTTTTCTAAAGCGTTTTTGAAAAATCGCTTACCCCACCTTTTAAATCCTTTTTCAAATCCACATTTCAGTCCCATGGATATAAGCTTCCATGGTACTGAAATGTGCTTTCACTGGCACTTTTTCGCCCTCTGTTTCATTTTTGGAAATCAGTTCATTCAGAGTGTTCATTTCACTGAACTGGTTGAAAAATGATTCATGGATTCACGAGTCATCGCTCATTTGCATTTTTCAGATTTCTTTTCTGAAGCAAAGTGCGTGTTTAGTTCAATCCTGCTGTTTAAAAATGTTATGTTTTTGATAATAGTACACTATAGAATATTAAATAGTATTATAGTATTAATAGTAGGGCTGTGCAAATAATCGAATGCGATTTTCATGCGCATCTCGTCAGTAAAGCCGCTTCTGTGATTAGTAGTAAAGTGATTAGTAGTCTCCAGCACGTGCTTTCAGATGGAGCGGCATTTACTACACAGAGCCGTAGTTCACTGACAAGCTATGCAAAATCGTGTTCATAATCGCAGGCGATTCATTGCTGATTATGAACGCGATTTTGCGTAGCTTGTCAGTGAACTACGGCTCTGTGTAGTAAATGCTGCTCCATCTGAAAGCACGTGCTGGAGATTTACTACTAATCACAGAACCGGCTTTACTGACGAGATGAGCATGAAAATCGCATTCAATTATTTGCACAGCCCTGATTAATAGTATTTTATTTTTGTTTTAATTAGTTGTGTTTGCCAAGGCAAGTATGTCTATTACTAGATTTGAACAAACCATTAATCAAAAATATTAACATCCTAGCATCGTTTGCTCGCTTGTTTGCAGATTAAACTTTCATTGATATTTTATCTAAATGTAATGACCTTACCTCGTTGAGCCTGGATGTAAGAAAGAAGCACTTATGAAATGGTTTCTGAATGATTTCGACAATGTTTTTGACATTTGCGTGTGAATGACTGTTCTCCAGCTGACCCGTTTGGAGGAGATCCGTTCCAGCAGAGCGACCCGTTCAAAGACCCCTTCGCTAATTCTGATCCCTTTGGTCAGAGTTCCTCAAGTCAGTTCAAGGTAAAATAAAAAATACTGGGAATCTGAGGCTATGTTGAACCAGAAAGAACATGTTTTTTGCACATTTATACAAATCAACCATGACTAATGATGCTTTTAAATTAGTGCCATCTGTGCAAGATCCTGAGCAGGATCCAATTTTACTTCAGGTTATGAAATGCCAGTGTATTTTCACGCTCCTGTCATTCTCATTCAGTCATTCAGCCATGCACACACAATATGTATTGAAGTGGGTGGAAATTATTATTTTTTGATGATTTTATGATGATTTTATGTTTTACTATTGAATGTCTGCATCTGGGACAAGGGTAAAATAAAAAAAATTATAAAAAGGCATTTGAAAAACAGTAAAAATAAATGAAAGCATGCTTAAAAAATGTTTCATATAACAAAAAGAAAATGTTGAAATTGTTAGTTTTAATAAAAAGTATGTCTCTGTGGAAAAAAATTCTTTAGATGTAAATGTCCACTTTCAGATCACAGTTTGGTTTCGGGGCTTTTTTGCATTTGAAACATTAAATCAAACTCAAGTAAATTCTTCTTCTGGAGAGCTTGCGTGTGGCAGCATGTGAGCTGATATTTTGGGTAATGTGGTGAGAAACGTGTCATAATGTACGGTTAGTGCTCTGTCATTCCCCTCTCTCCCTCTCTCTCGCTCTCTCTCACTTTCTCTCAGGCCAGTCCCTTCAGCAGAAAAATCAGCCAGGCATCGATGGGTCCCAAACCTAAAGACTCAGGTACAGTGTTCATTCGGTTGCTTCTGATCCACTAACCAGCCGTATGTTCAGTCCCCGTCTTCATTATTGTTCATCAAACAGTTCACAGTGTTCAGGAAGTCAGAATAGTAATAGATTTCACTCATTAAACTAGGCTAGTAATAAATAGAATCTTTTGTAACATTATAAATGTCTTTACTGTCACTTTTGATCAATTTAATGCATCATTGCAGAATAGGTTGTTACTTTCTTTTCTTTTTTTTTCAGTCTTACTGACCCCAAACTTTCGGATTATTTATCTCTGAAAACAGCACAACTGTTTTCGACATTGATAATAATCAGAAATGTTTCTTGAGCAGCAAAGCAGCATATTAGAATGATTTCTGAAGGATCATGTGACACTGAAGACTGGAGTAATGATGCTGAAAATTCAGCTCTGATCACAGAAATAAATTACATTATATTCACATAGAAAGTGTTATTATAGTTATTTTAAATTGTAATATTTTTTCAAAAAAAAATTTTTCTACTGTCTTTTTGATCAAATAAATGCAGCCTTGGTGAGCAGAAGAGACTTCAAAAACATTAAGAATATTACACTTTTGACCAGTTGTGTGTAATCATTTGACACATCAAAAACTTATCTGTTTTAGAGATAAAATATTGTAAGTGATGTTGCGTCACGCCTCTTTGTTTGTTGTTCACCTCCTTATCTTTTCGTCTCTTCGTCTGTTAGAGGAAGCTAGCTGGTCTTCTTCGTACCAGAGTGATGCATGATTCGGAGAGTAGATCAAAGATAGAGTCGTAAGAACCAGCGTTCACACAAACACATTAGTAGTGAAGTTAATGAAGACTGTAGAGTAATTATAATCATTCAGTGTCACAATGCAACTTTTAACTGAGGCCTATAAGTCTTCTATAACACAAAGTCACTTTCTGATTGGACACTGTATTTTTATTGGCAGTTAAAGCTCTTACATTTATTTTCAAATATATTTTTTAATATATTTCAAAATGGCCAAAATATATATTTGCTAAAATGTTTCAAAATATATTTATGTAAATTATATATATAATTATACGTAAATATATATGTACATTTATATATATATAAAATACATTTTCTACCAGTATATTCTACCATTTTTTTAATTTTTTTAAATATTTTTTATTTACATACATATATATTTTCTATTTTGAAATATATTTTAGTGTATTTTTAAAAATTTATTTTGCCCTCCATTTATATATCAGTCCAAGAAAATACATTCACATTTCCACATTTGGAGAAAAGCTTTATTTGTTGTTTATAACACCTGTGAACATGACACATTTTTTAAATTAAAAGTTAATAAATCAATTGGAATCATTAATGTAACATTGGAAATGTATGTTCTTGCCCCTAATACACATTTTGAAATATATTTTGGTATATGAAGATTGAAACTAAATATTTTATAATTTCAAAAATATATTTATATTAGTGCTGTCAAAATTAAAGCATGTGACGGAAATTTTTATTCCATTATACTGTGCTCATAGCACATGCTCTTCAGTTGCACTCACAAATGCAGCGGCGTGCTGTATATAATTCCATATTAAAGCGCAAATTAAATTAAGAGCATTCAATGTCGTAGTTATGTCGTCAGTTAAAGGGGTCCTATTATGCTCTTTTACAAAGTCTTGATTTTGTTTTGGCGGTGTACTAGAACAGGCTCTCATACTAGGTTGTTCGAAAAACACATTATTTTTCACATATTTTACATTATTACAACACCTCTCTCCCCAGTCTGGCATGAACGGCTCGAATAGTTCCTGTATCAAATGAAGGCCCGCCTTCTGAAATACAAAATGTGTTGTGATTGGTTAGCTGGGCCAGTATGTGTTGTGATTGCGTCAAAATCAAATCAATTTGAGTGCGATTTAAAATCTGGATGATTGTAACCACTCTAAGTTCGTCTGCCTTGGGAAAGCTAGCGTGTCTCCGACATAGTGATAACACTCGTTGCCTTCTCTAGTGCAGCTGAACCAGGTCTCGTCCCATTCGTCAGTATTTGTGATATCACAAATCCCGGAAAATATGAGTTGTAGTCCAAACGAGTCGTTCGTTGTAGTTTATAAAATATCTCCTTTTGATTTGTACTTTGAGCTTTGTAACTTCGCAGATCTTTTTTTATGCTCAAACAGCAACATTACAGACTAACTAAAGTTGAAAAAGTGAAAAAGCATAATAGGACCCCTTTAAGTCATGAAGTTACCGAAAAAGCTGCCTTAAAACGGTGCATGCGTAAGTATTTGTTATATATGAGTCAGATTTAAGAACATGTTTTCAAATCTGTACTGGCTGGAGCAGCAGCACTGTCTCCCTCGTCTAACACACCCCATTCAACTCCTCAGCTCATTAATAGAGACTTTAAGTCAGTCAGAAAAGGTAAAGAGTTGTGCGAAACTATGATGCGCGTCAGATCTGTGTCATGTTCAGCAGCGGCAGCTCTTAAAGCAGCCAAAATAACGTAAAAACAGCTGCTGTGATGTCTTTTCATCAAAGAGCAAAGAAAAAAATCAATAACTTTTGTAGCTTTAAGGATTCATCTATATTTAATCTAGAATTTAGTGTTTGATAACTTTATTCAATTTCTGTAGATTTCCTACTTGCTGAAGGGCACAGGTAAATATGACATTTATTATAATGGGTTTATATGAAGATTGCTTTGTTGACTTCAAGTTATTGTTTTTTAAAGTCTTTTTTTTTTTAATTGATAGCTCTCAAATATACTGTAATGTTGAATGGCTATAGTCAATGGTTAAAGGGATAGTTCACCCAAAAATGAAAATTCTGTCCTTAATTACTCACACTCATGTCGTTCCAAACTCGTAAGATCTATGAGGCTATGAGAATACTGAATTTTGTGTGCAAAGAAAACAAAGATAACGACTTTATTCAACGATTTCTTCTTTTCCAAGTCAGTCTCCACCGCCATTCATGTGAGAACCACAACGTGTGTGATCACGAGAGTATCACACATTTTAATTTCAGAAAAATGTGTGATTAATTAGTTTTAAATCTATTGATAGCACTCTATCTATCTATCTATCTATCTTTATTATTTTTATTTATTTATTTTTTTGCTCTATGCCAGAAATTGTATTTTTTTAAATGTAGCAGTCAGCGTTTTACTTTTTTTTTTTGAGGCATCGCCTCAAAATTTCCTGTTGCATGATTCTATTAATAGCACTTTTACATACACATTTAGCTACAGGCCTTCCGAAAATAGTCCCATCAGAACAGGGAATGCTTTGTAGAAAAGCGTCAGGAATCCACACTGTCTTCTGTCTTCTCTCTCTCTCTCTCTCTCTCTGTTTCTGCCCTGCTCACGCTGAACAGGTAAGCTCTTTCTGCATGTCCCGGCAGAGGAAGTGGGGTTAATTTATGGGAAACACGCAGACTGACATGCTCCTGAAACAACTCTTTTTACGAGAACACTAGAGAGTGTGTTTTGAGCTGTTAGTGGTCTCACACTTACAGATACATGCAGGAAACTCACACACGTTTTACTAGCTCAGCTTTCTCACAGCAAACACATGGACTTACAATAGCTTGTCTTTTTTCATCCTCCATAACTTCATCTGTGTTCATAATTGGGTTATTCTTGTTGTGAACCTTTTACACTCTTAGCTTTTGTATATAATTGTAATTTTAGGAAGCGTTTCTGTGGATGTAATAGGTTTCAGAAACAAGGATGCATTAAATTGATCAAAAGTGACTGTAAAAAAAATAATAATGTTACTGTAATGTTCAAATAAATGCGTTCTATTCATCAAAGAATCCTCAAAATTAAAATGCATCACAGTTTCCACAAAATTATAAAGCGGCACAACTGTTTTCAACATTGATAATAATCAGAAATGTTTCTTGAGCAGCAAATCAGCATATTAGAATGATTTCTGAAGATCATGTGACACTGAAGACTGGAGTAATGATGCTGAAAATTCTGCTTTGATCAAAGGAATAAATAAAATTTTACAATATATTCACATAGAAAATAATTATTTTAAATTGTAATATTTTTTCACAATATTACTGATTTTACTGTATTAATAAATGCAGCCTTGATGAGCATAAGAGTCTTCTTTCAAAACCATTAAAAAAAATGATCCCAAACATTTGAAATATTTGGTAGTGAATATTATTAGATTTATTAGTATAAATTGATTATTTACAGGATGAACAGGCTGGAAATAAAGAGAGAAAAGGAACAATATTGACAAGAAAGCATGTTTAGTTTGAAACATTTGTAAAAGTTAAAACAAAAAAATGATGAAATATCTGTAATATTTAATACAATTTATTTATAGAAGTTGTACCCAGAGTTATTATAGTTAACTAAAACAAAATATTAAACAAAAATTAAAACCAAATAAAATATTTAACACAAAAAAATGACAAAATTACAAAAATTTTAGCTAAAATTAAAATGAAAATATAAAAATAAAAACGGATTATATATAATCAAATATATAATAACATCCCAATTATACAAAAACAAATTTCATTTATTAATTATATTAAGATGAGGGCATAAAAATATACTGCGTAGTAAGTAGGAATTGCTCAACTGTATGACTCTTTCATAATGTCGTCATTAGTTAATCAGAAACATACGTCGAAGATGGAAAACAAAAAAAGCTCCAGATGGAAAACAAAACGTGTGCTTTTCAGAAGCTGAAAGTCATGGAAAATGAGAAACACTGGCCACATACAAGCCGCTCTCTTAAAATAGCACCTGTGTTTGTGCCTCACATAACTGAGCATATGCAGTGGTTGAAACGCAGAGGCCGTGTTGTTTCCATCAAATCATTTGCTTGTGCTTTCTCTCTTTCATAAACAGACCCATTTGCTGCGTCAGACCCATTCGGTAGCAACTCTTTTGGAGGGAAAGGTGGTTTCGCTGATTTCTCTCAATTGTCAAAGGTATGTTCACAAGAGGAATCTACAGTAGTTCATCCAGATCAATGTAAGCTCAGCTCGGTTACACTAAGCTAACGTGCATTTGGGAAAGTACTCAGTAAATAGCATACTGCTTGTCCTGTTTTGTAGTATGCATCATGCACACTCTAAACAGTATGTGAACTTGTTTGTATTCATGGAATATCTGAATGATCTGCTACATTTGTCAAATGTAAGTGATACAACCAGAGCACACTGCATGGATTACCGTATCCCACAATGCAATGAACCCGACCTCACCTTCCATCTCAAGCGATGAATGAAATATGAAATGATTTTTAAGACATTTTTAGCAAGCAAGCATGTTTATTTATATAGGACATTTCATGCACAATGATCATTCAAAGCGCATTACATAAAAAGGATTTTAAATGATCATAAAACGATCACAACAGAGGTATAAAATACAAAAGAAACAATAAAAGCAAAGAATAAAAAGAATGTATGCATTAAAATGTATTAAAAGAGTTAATAATAAACCATTTGTACACAAAACTACCTTTAATATGCAAAATAAACTGAAATAGAGGCCTCTGACCGAAATAAACATTCAATGTAAAACATAAAACATGCAATTAAACATGCAATGTTCACACGGTCATCTAGCATAATTCAGGTTGACGTGTTCATAGTATTCATTATATTTATTGTAGTTTCCATTCATCACAATATAACAGGGTTTCTGTGGGTCCTAAAAAGTCTTAATTCGCTCTTCCACAAACGAAATCAGAGCAGAAACTCATTGGCAGAAAGTCATGGCATCAAATATTGCATGCATTGCTAAAAACTAATATCTTCCTCAATATATTCTGTCTTGTTTTTTAATACAAATATCTAAACATCCATAAATCAACATGCATTTATACTTACAAGATATTTATATTATAAGATATGAAGTCTTGTTTTCTGAGAAATTGAACAGAATTAAGTGAGTTTGTTTAAAACAAGAACAAATATCTGCCTATGGGGAATAAAAACTTGTTTTCCCTTTGAATTAAATTGAGTTTTATGAGCCTTTTATGAGCTTTTATAATTCGCTTCATTTTGGTCAGTTGCACATAAAACAAGATTGTCAAGTAAATGTGACCCTGGAGCACAAAAGCAGTCTTGAGTCGCTGGGGGATATTTGTAGCAATAGCCAAAAATACATTGTATGGGTCAAAATTATCGATTTTAATTTTACTTAAGATATTAAGTAAAGATCATGTTCCATGAAGATATTTTGTATATTTCCTACCGTATATATATCAAAACTTCAGTTTTGATTAGTAATATGCATTGCTAAGGACTTCATTTGGACAACTTTAAAGATGATTTTCTCAATATTTAGATTGTTTTGCACCCTCAGATTCCAGATTTTCAAATAGTTGTATCTCGACCAAATATTGTCCTATCCTAACAAACCATACATCAATAGAAAGCTTATTTATTCAGCTTTCAGATGTATAAATCTAAATTTAAAAAAAAGTGACCCTTATGACTGGTTTTGTGGTCCAAGTTCACAAATGTATCTCAGGATCTTAAGACATTTGCACTTGAAATAAAGACAAAAAATACTGATGAAGAACAGCACTTTTTTAACAGTGTGAACAGAAGGTGCATTAAAAGTTATTTCCATATTCTAGTGGTTGTGATCAGAGCTATTCAAACCTTAAGCTATTTTTTTGCTAAATGAATTGAAAAGTAATGGAGTTCGATTGGACGTTCCAAACTTTGAGGTGTGACTTATAAAACAAATTGTGTTCTTCGTAAAATATTCAGAAACCCTGATATAAATTTACCCAGCTATGACAACTGAAAATGTCAAAAGGGTCCATTTCTGCATACTGTTTTTTTTATTTTTATTACATACTAAATAATATAGGCAGGATTATATATGTTGCAATATGCAGTAAGCAGTTGGGTTTTTGTGTGATTATTGATCAGTAGCTTGTGTAGATGCAGTGTTGTGATTTGTTTTTGTTCTCAGAGCTCGAGCTCAGAGCCTCAGAGCCGAAAGCCAACGTACCCGCTGCCTCCTCCCAAAAAACCCGGACCACAGAGACCAGTGCCGCCTCCTTACGGTGAGAAAAGCCCTGCCAACAGCAAAATGTGCTTGTGATTTACTGATTTAATATCTGATAAGCATGAGCGTGTGTGTGCATGTGAGTTTTAATTATATAAAAATGCATTATGACGTTTATCTTGTCAGTTTAATTATGCGGTGTGGAAGAGTGAAATGAAATGTTTATCTGGTGTAGTAATATTATTATAATATTAAGTGCTTTTTGTGTGCATCATGCTGACAACTATAACTGAATTTAAGAACTGTAATGTCTGGAGCGAAATCTTTATTTTAAATGAGATCTTTAGAATGAGTTTTGGAATTTATGATGTATGCTTGATTTATTGTTATTTCTAGATGTGTTTCATTAGAGCGGAAATGTCAGGGAGTTGTAAGACTAGTTATCTTTATCCAGCTGTAACCAGACCCAGACTCATCCCCCTACAAAATTGTGTTATTTGAGCCGTAAAATTGTACAAATCATCCTTTGAATACTCATTGGATGAGCATCTGGTTATACTTTGCCAATATAATTCAAATGGACTGATTTCGGTCCACGTAAACATCAGTTATTGTAGAATTATTGATATACTATAATAGTAATTATTAATATTTTTTAAATGAGCTTTTATTTTTAAATTTTCACTTTTGTTTTACGCTTTTGTCATTTTTGTCAGTTAATTTTATTTCAGTTTTATAATTTTAGTACTTTAGAACTTTTTTATTAATTATTTCAGTTAGCTGCCAATGCAACATTTGCAATGTTTTTTTTAATTTGTTTAATATTTTTTTATATTTGCAGTTTTCATTTTATTTTTAGTTTTGAGCTTTTGTCATTTTTATTAGTTATATATATATATATATATGTCTATAGTTTGTATTGTTTTCAGTTTTAGTTTAGTTCAAGATGTTGCATTAACCAAATGAAAATAAAAAGTGTTTCTGTTGCAGCAAGCTTAAATATTATAATAATAAATAACTGAATTTATTTGATTTGATTTCAGTTAATGCTTATTTTAGGTGACTTTTTTATCGTTTTAATTTTTAGTTTGGTTAGGGTCACATGGACTCTTTTATCACGTTTTATTGAAGGCTTATTAATTGTCTAACTTTGTAGTATTTACAATAGATAATCTTTTAGGGAACAGATTTTCACTATAGACTTATGTTACAACTGTAGCATGTTGTAGCAATTGTTTCTAAACATGCAGGCTGTTGTTTTCATAACAAGTGCTATATAGATGAATAAAGCTCCTTGCATGCACTAATAGTTCATGTTACTCTGAGCAGCTGTTAGTTCATTCTAAAGGTTATCAGTTAATAGGTTTATGTTGAGGTTAACTCTGTAGCTCCTCTAAATCTCTAGGCTAGTCTTAACCCGTTTAATCCCAACATTTTTCCCAGACATGAGAATATCCAAATCATGTGTCATTAGTAACCCTTTGAAATAATCAATAATAATTTTTTTTTAAAGTTTTTTGGAAAAGTGTGTGAAAAATTGTGTTTTATGGTCAGTCACAATTGTGAGCGGTGGGATAAAGTGCATACTGAATTAACATAAAAAATGTTTTATATATCAAAGCTCTATGAGTTTTATCACATTCTATTATGCATAAAAACCCCTTATACAACACTGATAGGAATACTGAGATAAAAGACAACATATTTCAAAATTGTTACTTTTTTGTAACATATATCATCAAAAATGTTTAGTGCTACCAGTATTACAACATCAGTATTGTAACTTATTTGTAACATTTGAACTTTTAATTTAGTGCAATATTTTGTCATTGCAACATTTTAGTGCAATTTTCATTAACAACTGCAATTGGATTTATAATTGGATCCCACCGGTCACAACATGTTTACTCATTCTATGACCACACTCAACAAAACTGAATATATGTGAATTGATATATTAATACTAGACACCCTAAAAATAATGTGTACCAAAAATATTTGTGTTAACATACTTTATGCTCATCATCTTCTCAAAGTGCAAACAGGAATTAAACTGGTCATGTGACAATTTGTACTAACCGTGTGAAACTGCACATATTTAAATTAGACCCTTTATTTGTTTCCATATTTGCAGGAAGTGCACTAAAACATCAGTCAGTAAGGTTTTTAGAGCTTTATAAATGAAAACCTTTTTTACGGTCACTGAGACCGGTGCATGGGATTAAATGGGTTAATCTTTCTGGATTTGCTGTAATAAAGTGTGGGATTGTTTGACATGTTGGGATTTAGTGTTTATCTCTGGTTTAATTGTAGTTTAGTGTCGTGTCTTTAGTCTCTGTTGGCTCTCGCTCATGTACTGATCCCAGACCAGCGGCACAATATGTTTCTATATAGTTTTAATATATACATTTGTTTAATATTTTTTTTAATATTTGCATTAAAACTTTAATATTAGTTTAAGTTTTAGTAATTTTGTTTTGGGCTTTTGTCATTTTTATTAGGTATATATATATATATATATATATTAGGTATATATACATTTAAAAAAAATGCTGGGTCATTTTTTATATATTTTTTTTACCAGGGTGCTGGGTAGTTTTTCTGAAACTCTCAATACAAATGATGAACCCATCGCTCACTTACCCAGCGCTGGGTCAGTGTAATGTTGGGTAAAGCCTGATTTATATTGGAGCATTAACTGGAGCATTCTTGTAAGTAATAATTGAAGTTTTAATTATAAACACTTTCAGACTTGTACCACATTTCACAGCCCACATCAGACATTTCACCACACGCAAACAAGCTCAATAAAATGACAGATCATGCAGAGTGAGTCTGATCATGGAAGGGCAAACACTTCCCCATTTTAACGATATCGAAGCGCATCAGTGCATGGTGAGTTAATCATCGGACAGCTGTGACAGGAAAGATAAGAGTCGTCTTGGTATGAGATATTCAGCTGCTGCTGAGGGGAAGAACGGGCCACTACAGGTTTATTTGTCTATACTTCACACAAAAATTAAGATTCTTGTTATTTTTCGAACCTGTATGACTTGCATTCCTCCGTGGTAATGCTGTGTTTTTCCATGCAATGAAACCATATACAGTACTTGTTAAAAGTATGGAAACATTAAACATTTTTACAACTCAAAAAATACAGTAAAAAACTGTAATATTGTGAAAACATTTTTACAGTTTAAAATAGTTGTTTTCAATGTGAATAATAATAAAATGTAATTAATTGCTGCAATCAAAGCTGAAATTCCTTCAGAAATCATTCTAATACAGTGGGGCAAAAAAGTATTTAGTCAGCCACCAATTGTGCAAGTTCTCCCACTTAAAAAGATTTGCATATGCGAGAAAGTCATGCAAATGTGTACACAACATGACTGTCTGAGTGTGTGTGTGTGTGTGTAGTCCTTTAAACTCGGCCTTGATGACCCACATCCACATATCGAATCACATCATCAGTCTGTTCTCGACCTCTGTTTTGGTCCATATGGTGAATCACTGTTTCCTGTGGCGTTATCAGTGGTGTAGAGGTTACCTGGCCTCTACCGTGATGAGTTGCGTAGTGGTGGATTAGACCTCTGTGACCATTTATACATTTAGCTGATGGTTTTATCCAAACACGAGGAATTAAACAAAGTGATTTGTCATGCAAGTTCTGAGATGGTGAAAGTATCTCTTTTTGGTAAAAACCTTTACAATAAGGTTGCAATTGTTAACATTAGTTAACTACATAAGTTAGCATGAACTAACAATAAAAAATACCTTATATTTTCCATTCCGAATATTCCATTTTCATTTTAAATTGTTAACACTTTATATTAAACTTCATATATAGAGCTTTGCGATGTATATGTATGTATGTATATATATATATATATATATATATATATAATATATGTGTGTGTGTGTGTGTGTGTGTATATATATACACAATATTTTATAACATCAACATAGAGCATTACAACAGGTACAATTACAATTACAATTACATTTAAATTTATTTTACAATTAAAATGTATATAATATAAAATAAAAATAATTTCATTATTCACTATCATTAATACAATATTTTAAATTTACAAATAAACATAAAGAATTAATTATTAATAAAATAATTATATATAAGTATACTTAATAGTATGTATGTATGTATGATTAAAATGGATCAATTAAAAAAAGTAGAATTATCTTATATATATATATATATATATATATATATATATATACACATACATACATATATATTCATTATTCACTATCATTAATACAATATTTTAAATTTACAAATAAACATAAAGAATTAATTATTAATAAAATAATTATATATAAGTATACTTAATAGTATGTATGTATGTATGATTAAAATGGATCAATTAAAAAAAGTAGAATTATCTTATATATATATATATATATATATATATATATATATACACATACATACATACATAATGTGAGTGGATATACTTATTGTTTAATTCATTGTTTATTAATTTGTGAATTATTAGAAGTTTAGGTGTTGTTCGTATAAACCCAAAAATACGTTTTATGTACATATATGCTATATATCCAACTATATATAATATATATATAAGTGTATATTTTGTGACGATATAAACAATTCATTAAGATTAATGATTAATTATAAATAATTAAAAGAAATATAATTATTAATTATAAATAGATTTGCTATATACTAGTATTACTTTACGTGAGTCAATGTACTTGTATAATTCATTATTAATTATTATAAGTATGTTTCAGGCTCAAAGATAAATATCTGAATTAAATTTGTTTTGCACATTGAGCTCCAGTCTCTCTCATAAACACACTGAAGTCACCTCTAGCCACCAGCATGTGTTGACGCTCTGTATTCAGCGCTTTTACGCTAGGACTGTTCCGATGTGTCACCTTCACAGCGAGGTGTTTACACTACTAATTCACTCGTGTGTTTGATGCAGCGGATTGTTTGTGGTGTGTTTATTACTATAACAGGCACAGAAAGGGCATGGGTGCGGCGCTGGTAGTTTCACTACTTTCTCTGAGTTCAGAAAGAAAAAGCTCTTCCTCTCCATGGCACATGAGGCCTGTGTAGTGGTGAGAGAGATCTAGAGAAGCGAGTTCCTCTAAAGTTCGTGGTTCACACCCTTACACTGAGCACCAGTGTTCCCACGGTTGGCTAAATATGTTTATGCCAGGTTCTCACACTCCTCTGGAACTGTAAACGCTGTACGTTTCTGATCTGTATGACACTTTGAAACTTCTTCTTATGTGTTTTCACTTTGAATGATCCTGCTGAACACTTCATACAGAATATTAATGGTGCAGCTTTCACATCTAAATGTTACCATCATTCCTTTCTAAGCCACTTTAATTCTTTATTTTTCTTTAATGCATTTCTTTTTCAGGTGAATCTCATGAAAATATGTATGGGTCATATTTTATCCCAAAGTTAAATAATTTTGGGACCAAAAAAGATTTTTGCATTGTGACATTTAAGCTATTTTAGCACTAAATTAATTATTTTACTATTAATTAGTTTATTATTCTCAATAGTGATCATCATTACTGTAATATAGCATCTTTTACGTAAAAATACTGTTATACAATAATTTTTAAAGTGTTTAAATGAACAAAAAACATACAAGTACTTTACAATTTATATATACTGAATTATGTATGTATATACTGTATACAAAATAAAAAATTGCATTAAAGTAATTATTTATATAGTGAGTTATATACACAATTTATTTTGTTAAAAAATCAACATAAAAAGCATTACAACAGGTATGTTGCTTTTAAAATTTATATAATACAATTTACATTTACATTTTTTTACATTTAAATTTATTTTACAATTAAAATGTATATAATATAAAATACAAATCAGTGCATTACAATAATGATTTTAATTGCATATATATTAATTGTCACTATCGTTAGATCATCACAGTAATACAATCTTTTTTTAATTACAAAAAAGCATTAAAACAGGTATTTTACAATAAAAAATTTGTATTTAAATTTATTTTACAATTAAAATGAAAGTTTAATAATCTAAATGAAAAATAATTTCATTACAGTAATGCGTTTAATTGCATATATGTTTTTGCTGCTTGTTTTGTGAGATTCACCTCATATCGAGCTCATTTAAATCTTGTTGGTTGTTGTAGTGGGTAGTGGTTGGTGTTGGCAGTTTTTAGAGGTTTGTAAATACTGCTCATATTCTGAAGAAATTAAATTTATGCAGTGGTTTTGGTGCACCGCTGGTGAATATGAGCCTTTCATGTCAGCTGCTGCAGGCCATCTAAAGCACTCGTTTAATCTAAGATAATTCAACGTCTGCTCCAAAAGGTAGGCAAGAATATGATGATTTCTAAGATGCCTCACTTTGTGGAGAAAAGAATCCCAGAATGCATTGCAATGAATTTGCTGAAAAAAATGTATCTAAGAGAAATGTTTAAAAAACAATTAATTTTATTATTACTATGCTTATTATATTTATTATTACATACTATACATATCTATTTATTATAAATAATACATTTATTATTTAATTATTATTTTACAATTTATTATATATTTAAATCTATTTAAATGTACTTAATTCATGCAATAACAAACAGAATTCATACAAAAGTAATATAATCAATAATGTACTATTTTACTCAATATTTGGGTTTTTGCATGTTCAAATATGGAATACAGTTTGAGTCTGAAGAAGCTGCTGAATTCATGTGGATTTTTACATCTTGTTTTCTTGATTGCTGTCACTTCTTTCTTCCACAAATCAAGGGTGTCCTTCATCTAGAGACCTTTGAATCGCTTTGTGAAGGTCTTGTTGATCCAGGTTATTACAGAATTTGGAGAAAAGCAACTGGACTTTAAAGCAACTGCATTTATTATAGATGTTTTGCCTTCGTTAGTTGATCGAAATCATCTGTACTGCTGATAAACAGCCATAATATTAAATAGCAATAATAAATAGCCGATCATCACTCTTATTAGTGCTTATATGTGATTAAATGTTTGGTCAAATCATGTGAGATGCACTGTTATTTTACTAAGTGATCAGAGTAATAAAGTTCAGCTGCTTTTGACTGAATTCTACAGCACTTTTCATGAATTTAATGATCTTTTCTTGTGCTTGAACTGCTCTGTTGGTGTTTGGGGGTCATCTTTGTTTTCTTTCACACTTTCAGGGAAGAATTCCGCCGTCACGTATAGCGGTTCAGGGGTTCATAGTCAAGGGTTTGGTGGTCCAGCCGTTCGAAAGACACAAACGGACAGAGGACCCGGCTCCTCGTCCTCAACGTTACTGTCTGCTGTTAACCCGTCCTGTAGAGCTGTAAGTCCAGTGACATGCCGTCTGATCATCTCCATCTAGCTAGTTTCTGCTGTCATAGTTTGTAGTTGCATTCGCTTCATCCCGACATTTGCCATCGCTGCTTCCTGCGCTGCTGTTTTGCCCATTTGCATTGTCCCGCGCGTGCTGATGCCAGAATCATGCCATGCTTTACACCTCAAGATTTGCTTAACCTCAGGCCATCCAAGATTAGGATGAGTTTGTTTCTTCATCAGATTTGGAGAAATGTAGCGTTGCATCACTTGCTCAGCAATGGATGCTCTGCAGTGAATGGGTGCCGTCAGAATGAGATTCCAAACAGCTGATAAAAACATCACAATAATCCACAAGTAATCCACACCACTCCAGTCCATCAGTTAACGTCTTGTGAAGACAAAAGCTGAGTGTTTGTAAGAAACAAATCCATCATTAAGATGTTTTAACTTCAAACTGTTGGTTTCAGCTGAAATATGAGTCCTCTATCTATAATATTGTTTTCTATAGTGAAAAAGTGGTCTGGTCTAAATCAGGAGAGAAATCTGCACAGATCAAGCACTGTTTACAAGCCAAAACAGCTCTAAACAAATATATGGCTGGATTTTGATGTGAGATGACAACAGGAGATGGACTTTTTCACTGGAGGACGCGTTTAAAATAAAACGTTTGAATGATGGATTTGTTTCTCACAAACACGCAGCTTTTGGCTTCTCAAGACGTTAACTGATGTACTGGAGTGGTGTGGATTATTGTGATGTTTTTATCAGCTGTTTGGACTCTCATTCTGACGGCACCCATTCACTGCAGAGGATCCATTGCTGAGACACTGATGCAATGCTGCATTTCTCCAAATCTGATGAAGAAACAAACTCATCCTAATCTTGGATGGCCTGAGGGAGAGTGCATTTTCATCAAATGTTCATTTTCGTGTGAGCTATTCCTTTAAAGTGATAGTTTATCATTTATTCACCCTCATATTGTTCTAAACTTGTACAAATCAGAAGTCCATACAAATTGTGCACTATATTGTTTTTGCTAACAAATGCCTTCAGAACACACTTCAATGGTGCTTTTTTGGAGCGACATGAAAACATGATTGATCTGTAGTTGAAGGATTTTTAAAACTGATGATGCAGCTGAACAGAAGCAACAAGAGTGTAGTTATGTAGTGGAACAAACCCTTTGTTGAAGATTGAACCAGACGGCATGTTTGCTTTCAGCCAAACCTTTGATATCAAGCGAGCTGGACTCATGAACACACATGGGTCATTCTTAGACTCTGCTAATATTTATGACCCTCAGACTTTTTAAAGTTTGTTCAACAAAATGTAATAAGCTTTTCAAGTCTGTGGAACAAAAATAGTTTTGATTTTCATTAAAATGATGAGACCAATGATGCACAAATTCTGCAGAGGAAACATCATTTACATACAGTTCATATTTAGTATTCAGCTATCTGATTAGAATCAGTAACAGCTGTTTGATGCATAAGAAGCATCCATCTTCAGTGGCATCCATAACAGGGTTGAAGACAAAAATCAGCTTATTTGTCTTACTTCAATAGTTGTTTGTTGTTTTAGACAATACATTTTATACATACATTTGACTTTGATACATTTATGCTTTGAATTAGACAAATCAATTTGCTAATAAGGCAAAATAAATTGTATTTCAGATAGATTATCTGAAAGCAGGTCTGTTACAGTTTTTCCTTTGTTTTAAGGATGTCTAAATTTGTTTTATTTATTTTTTATACAATTTCTAGCTCTTGGGTTTCTGCAACAACTTTAGCACCATCTTTCCTGTGTAATATTATTTTTTTCACTCAATCAAACAGCATATGAAAACTACTTGTGCATGTTTGACAACAAAAACTTGAATACCCATGACTCTCATGGTAAGAATAAAACTTTAGGATCATTTGAAATGTTCTTTCATATTCTTGAAGTACATTAAAGTGACCTTACAAACTCATCATTACAATATGACCTCAGAATGACACTTTGGTCTAGAAAAGTGAGAAGCTTTTACCAAAGTACTTCCTGTTTTCTGACACTAGTGGCAACTGGCTTCACCACAGTGTCACAGTTACTTACGTTGTTTTTGCAAATGTATATACTTTTTTTGTTTACGTTTAAAATAATATTTTTTGAATAAATGCATTAAATCAGTTTCAGTGGAATTAAGTGTATTTGCTACAGAAGACACTCAGTTGTGTTAATTGTGCAAGTATCACTGCTAAATTGTTTTGCACAACCTTATTAGATCATATCAGGAGTAAACAGTTTAGTAGAATTGAACTTTAATAGTTAAACATCTATCATTCAGGTCAAATCCAGGTTGACCTGAATTCACCCTGTGTTGCATGGCGTTTGTGCTGTGCCCTGCTGTGCAGATGCAGTTTGCATGTTGCATGAGGTTTTTTGTTGTGTATGCCGTGCTGCTTGTGTCTTCAGAGCTTTGCTGTAATTTGTCTTTCTCCCAGGCACTGAACACATGAAGGTAAGGTGAAACGTGGGTCTGCCGACCACATCTGAGCTGCTGCATGTGTTTGTGTCAACAATAAAACACCTACTCCACCCTGCGTGCACACAAATCTCTTCACAAATCTCCCTGAGAAATCAGACTGTATATTGAAGCTCTTTAAAACAGCAGCAGCAAATGTAAGACCAGCTGACCAATCGCAGTGAGAAAAGAGCGGAGATACAGTTCGTGATTGATTCAAATAAGCTTTAGAAAGTATAGAAATGGTTTTGTAATAGGAAGTATTTGGATACAGAAATTGCACTTAAAATGTCTGAATGCAATTGCATTAGATGCATTTATTTTAATGTAAAATAGCACACTTTTCAAGCAAATGTAATAAAAAGAGTGGAAAAGAAATAGGTTTTCAACTAAATGTATTATTTTATAATTGTCTAGTGTCATTTTTCTCATGATTTTGACAACTTTTGATCATAAAGTATGTTTTTTGCATCCTTCTTTACATTAAATGATATTCTATTATCTAATGCAAGCACATTCAGAATACATTATGTATGATTTAAGTGACCAAATGCTTTATAGGTCATCTTTATATTTCCTCTAATATATATATATATATATACTGTATGTATATATATATATAAATATTCTGTGTGATTTTGTAATGGCTCTCATAAAGCGAATTGTTCATGATGATTTGCCTTCATTCCCTGTGTGTTCGGTCACTGGTAACTTACATTTGATGGAAACCAAAGGCTTCACAGCTTTGGTTGTTTTCTTGGCTTTCAATCACTGGTTGCACGACAGATGATATAAATGATAATCAGTGTGTTTTTGACCAATTTTAAAAAAGAAAGAAAATCACGTCAGATCGGATGTTATATAATTTTGCACACATCACTTGTGCTCATGTGAAATGAGTGATTTTATTCACCGTTATGTGATTTGATATGAGGGCTGGGCGATATATTGAACTGTCATGTATTCATGATGCTTTTATTGGTGGTGTAAAATTAAGCAACATTATGAATACTGTGGTGGTTTTGATGCACTTTTTATTTGGCTATTAAGTAGAGCTGCAGGATTAATCAAAATAAAATCAGAATCATGCACTTATTAACAAAAGAGAAGCGTTAAAGGGGTCATATGGCGTTGTTAAAAAAGAACATTATTTTGTGTATTTGGTGTAATGAAATGCTTTTATGCGGTTTAAAGTAAAAAAAAACACATTATTTTCCACATATTATAGATTATTGTTCCTCGTCTATGCCTTGCCTTTCTGAAATGCGTCGATTTTTACAAAGTTTATCGGTCTGAAAAAGCGAGGTGTGCTGTGATTGGCCAACTATCCAGTGCGTTGTGATTGGCCGAATACCTCAAGCGTGTGACGGAAATGTTACGCTCTTACCATATTGTGACGCCATGTCCGGCGGGAGTGATGAGACAAAAACATTAAAACCCACTATAAACAAGGCATTTGTTGCATCCAGTGGGGACATAATTACGGATTATAATGACTTATACTGTGTTTTTACGCGTAAACATAAAACCATGTCTGCATTTGTGATCGGAGAAACGTCAAACAACAAGCGCTACTCTACACTGCTCAAAACTCATGTTTTAATCATCAGTGACAAATCCTTTAAATATGAAAACGTACTTGCAGGCTGCGAGTCAGCATTATTTGTCAGCATCATAGACTGTATAGGGTCAGCATGCGTGCCGAAGGAGAAACAGAGGAAGTGAATTCACCGGAACACCGGCATTGTAGGCTACTCTCCCAGGAAACAGTCCTCGTCCTCCGTAAAATGTGTTGCTCACATCTGAATATTTGGGTTGAACTGTTCTGGAGCAGTGTTGTAAATACAACTTAACTACTGATTTCTAGTCGTGTCCTCTTTTGGAAGACCAAACAAAGTAGTTTCGCTTTCACAACGAAACACACAGCAACTCTAGACATGGCGGCAGCGGCAACAACAATACTACAGCGAGAATAAAAGTTACGCCTTCTTTCTTTGCGTTAACATTTGGGCGGCGTTATGCAAATCTTCCCACACAGTGACGTAGACATGTGGGGGCGTGTTTAAACGAGGCGTTTTAGGCGAGCGTGGACGAGTCTTAACTTTTATACTTTTATAAAGAATATCTCTTTGGTTTTGAGACTTTAGTCTTTGCAACTTTAGGGCTCTTATCTATTCACGAACAGCTTGTAACACTCCAAAGAGAAAGGAAAACTTGAAATCGCATCATGTGACCCCTTTAAAGGGGTCATGAACTGCCTTTTTTATTATTTTTTACTGTTCGCTGAGGTCCACTTATGCTGTTATCATGATTTTTACATTGCAAAACATAAAAGTGATCACGCAATAAAAACCGTTACTCACACTTGTGTGGTACGACATTACCGTCGGATCCAATATAATCGCACAGCATCGTCTTTTAGTTTCAATCTTTCTGACGAATTGTGTCTTGTTTATAAACAAATCCGCGGTAAAATTAGATGAACAAACGACCAATTTCCCCCCAAATCTTACAGTCCTACTTATTTTGTAAAAACATGTCTTGATTATTTTTTATCTAGGTTTTTAGTTTATCTACTTTTTAGATTAAACATGTTGAATCTACGAATCTGTTTAAAAAAAGTAAAGTCCGAGCAAATGCATAAATATCAAGATCGTCAAGGCTGAAAGATGCCAATGTATATTTTTTCGTTATATATCGGCCAGCCCTACAGGGATGCATTCTGCTGTGTGCGTGTGATGAATTGTAGTTTCTGTAATGTCGTTTATTTTCCGGTTCAGTTCGGAAGTGAGACGGAGCAGCTGGAGTGGGCCAAACGCGAGAGCCAGAGAGAGGAGGCGGAGCGAGTCCGGAGGCTCCGCCTACAGGAACAACTGGACCTGGAACTGGCTCTGGCTCTCAGTCGAGCTGAAATGCCCAGAACATGAAGCTGCTACGTTTTGGATTCAATCCTTCAACTTTCAGATGAAGCTTTTGCTCCAATCATACGCTCTTCCTGAAGATCTCTCAGGTTTGCTGTAGCGATCACTGAACCAATGAAGTACAACAAAACCAAAGGCCATAGTTACAGATCCACTTGACACATTTGCTCATGAACTGCACAAAATGCTAAACCACTGAATTATGCTTTATAAAGATTATATACAGCTTCACCAAATACTGTAGGACCAGTCAGTCTTAAGTCAATTATTGATGCACAGAAGTATATAAGAAATATCAACCTCTATCTGCAGCCAATGTCGGTTTTGCAAAGCAGATTCGACCCCAAGTGCTTCATATTTAAGTGTCTTTAGGACTTTTGACTATGATCAAATTCATCCAAGTCTTAACCAGACGTTTGGTTTAATAAGAGGGATGAATTATTAAATGCATGACATTTAGTTGCCGTCGGTCCACTATATGATCATATATGATGTCTGTATTTACATATACACCTGCATAATCAATGCATTCCCAAATCTCATATGGTTGAAGATTATGAGTTTTATTAGATGCATGAAGATCAAATGAAGCATATTCTTTATTCTTGAAGGAACCTGTTTTTAGTTGTGTTTGGCACTGTTGAGAGTGAGATGATGTGAGCTGTATTTCTTGTGTTTAACCCTTTAAAGCTTGATCAGATCCTCTAGATGACACCGGATCACACAAACCAGCACCCCTGAAGGAGCTCTGCCCACTTTCATATGGTTTTAACCCTTTTCTAGCCTTTTCTTAAAACACATTTTGCCTTGAAGTGAAGCCTTATACTGTATATTGAGCTTGTTCTTATTATGTATTCATATATGTATTGTATCTGTGATACTTTACCATAAAATTTGCAGGTTGTGGGTTGTTTATATGCTAGAGAAGGTCATTCTGGTGTTTATATGGGTTTGATTTTCTCTTTTAGCATTTTGAAGATTCTGTTGACCTTCAATATTTTTATGCGTTTTGGTTCTTTTGTGGAAAAAGGTTCAAAATGATTTTAGTGTGCTGCTTTTCAATGTTTTAATAAATGTCAAACATATTTATCGGAATGCACTAGAGAGTTTTTATTTTCTTTAAATGAAGAAGTAAATATACATTTTATTATAATAGATTATTTTATTATTTCTGTTATAAATATTGTTAAATTGTGTGTGTGTATATATATATATATATATATATTATATTTGTTTTGGGGATTTTTTACTAATTTATATTTTAAAGAATATAAACCTTTGAGACCATTAAGGTAAATATTTTTATTTTAAATGTTGGATATTTAGATAGATATTTATGAATATGGCAGACGCTTTTGTCTAAAGCAGCTTATTGCATTCAAGGTTTACAGTTTATCAGTTTATGCATTCACTGGAAATTGAACCCATGACCTTGGTGTTGCATGATCTACATGATCTGGATTGCAACTTTGAATTGAAAGACAAATTTGAAATTAAGAAGCTGCAGTCTTCAATATCTGCTTTTAAAATCACCCAGTTAATAGTGAGTTTCTGCCATCAGTTCCACCGGTTGCCAGACGGTTTGAGCTGCATTCAGATCCGTCCGTGTGCACCTGCTACACTTCATATCTACTCATGTTCATGTTAGCGGCATCTAGAAACTGAGCTTAACTGTTTCTATTCATGCCAAATCTAGTATGTGTTGTACTTGTCCTGCTGTGCGGCTCTAATGATGGATGAGCATCCTGTACATCGTGACGTTCGGCATCAATGAGCGACTTTTGCGCATCTATCAGACGTTTGTCTTTTGCAAATGCTCTGTGAACGGCTTCAGCAAATTGCTGTTTTTCCTGGATCTGTCGAGTAACACAAGCTTAAAGAATGAAGCTCGAGCTCAAGCCGGACTGAAATGGAGTCCTTGGAAAGATTGAGATCTAAGTGTGAAAATAATTGAACAGCTGCATGAATTTTAGCTTCGGTATGTTAATTACCCCCACTTGGAATAACAGGAAATTCCTCTGCGAGTTTTGATTTACTGAAGGCTGCTGAAAGAGCTGATTTTAAGATGGACAAATGAGAAGGGCTCAGGTGACAGAAACATAAGGCTCCAGCTCTTTCCTCATTTGTGTTTTTCTGGCTCTTGATCGCTCACCTACTTAACCGTCCACACGTGCGCTTCGTTTAGAGGCCTTGCCAGACATTCTTGTCTAGTCTTTGGATTTAGTTGTGGTTTTAGTGCTGAGTGGTTAAATGGTGGGGTCAGGAATTACTGACCAGCATGGATGTGTTCACAACAGCACACTATATTGCCATATACAGTACAGTACTCCTAGAGCGGGTTGGAGTATAAATACGGAGCATAGTGTGCCTGAATAAAGCAATGCGCTTGATTTGACCTTTCATTTCCAGTTTTATATCTCATTTAAATCGAATTTCTAGTTATGTTACACCATTCTGTTTTTATCTCACAAATTAGAACTAGTTCTTAGTTTATAACTCACAGTTCTGACCCTCTCATTATTCTGAGGTTATATCTTACAATTCTGATTTTTTTCCCACAATTCGGACTTTTTTCCCCCCGCAATTGTGAGTTTATCTCATAATTCTGACTTCTCGCAATTTTGACTTTTTTCACAAGTCTGAGTTTATATCTCATAGTTTGGACTTTTTCACAATTCTTGAGATTATTTCTCGCAATTCCGACTTTTCTTCATGCAGTTCTGAGTTTAGATCTCGCAATTCTGATTTTGAATCTCCAGATATAAACTCAGAATTGCAAGAAAAGGGTCGGAATTGTGAGATAAAAATGACCTTTTCTATTTTTTTTTATCCCATGGTGGAAACAAGCTTCCATACTTTCATAATCAGACTGCCAAAAGTAAAGACATTTTTACACAAAATTGGATTTAAAATTCAACATTACTGTATTTATCTGCTTGATAATTAGACGCCACTCACTGAAGTAAATTCAGTGTTTTTTTTAAAGTGTCCTTGCATATTGTTTCATTGCATGTTGTTTTAAAAATAGTTGGCAGTATTTCTCATCTCTAATAGACTAGTTCTTGTATAGAAGGGGATCTTTATTTCTACTTTGAAATCTGTTGAATTGCAGTAATCATAGTAAACACAGCTTTGTACCTTTTCTATTTTTTTTATCCCATGGTGGAAACAAGCTTCCATACTTTCATAATCAGACTGCCAAAAGTAAAGACATTTTTACACCAAATTGGATTTAAAATTCAACATTACTGTATTTATCTGCTTGATAATTAGACGCCACTCACTGAAGTAAATTCAGTGTTTTTTTTAAAGTGTCCTTGCATATTGTTTCATTGCATGTTGTTTTAAAAATAGTTGGCAGTATTTCTCATCTCTAATAGACTAGTTCTTGTATAGAAGGGGATCTTTATTTCTACTTTGAAATCTGTTGAATTGCAGTAATCATAGTAAACACAGCTTTGCTTTGAAGGGGAAAAAGAGAAGCTTGTTTTTTTCCTGTTCATGTCAGATTGGTAGTAAAAGTTACTATCATCAGCACACAAAAGTGAAATGAGATTTCTGCTTCACTTCACTGAGTCGCTAATAATAGTCAGGATCACATTTCTTCTTTTTGTCGAATTTGCATAAAAGGGAACTCTAGTGCTGTTTTCACACATTATTCACAAATGCAGAACAAGTTCAACTCTTGGAAAACAAAAGCACAGAGCTGGATGCTTTATTTAGACATTCAATAGGAATTTAAAATACTTTGTATGCACATAAAATGTATACATTTATTTATTTAGTCATTTATCAGACTAAGCGACTTACAAATGAGGACAACAGAAGCAATCAATTGTAGTATTAAAACAACTAAAAACAGATCCAAAACTAAAAGTTAAAACTTTATAAATAACACCTATACACATTTTAAAAATAAAGATATTAAATAAAAATGACAAATGCATACAACAACATTTAAAAACTTAACATTTAAATGAAAAACAAAAAATAAAGCTAAAAACAATTCAAAATATGAAAGAACAAAAGGTATGAGTATAATAATGATTCTAACATAACACTAAGCCAAACACCAAAAAAACAACTACATATATGTGTATGTACATACATACACACACACACACACACACACACACACAGACACACACATTTATAAATTCAATATATATATATTATTTCATTTCCATTTAGTTTGTTGAAGTATTAAAATAACTCAAATTAAATAAAACTAAAAACTTAATAAAAGACCTATACAGACATAATAAATTCAGACATAATT